GTAAGAGAAGAAAAATCAAAGAGAGCGAATGAACTGATCACGCGAACACTTGTGTTGATTCATTAAATAGAATCATCTGAATATTCATAAGACAACGCTCAACAATTAAGTAAGCGTAAATCCAAACAAAGAATGTCACGTGCTTTTTCAACGAGGCATGATGAGGCGCATGTATTCGGTCACTTAGAAAGAGAGAGAGAGAGAGAGAGAGAGAGAGAGAGAGAGAGAGAGAGAGAAAGAGAGAGAAAGAGAGAGAGAAAAGACTACGCATTTTAAATGAGAGTGCAGAGAATCAGTGCTTGTAATCACACACGACAATGAGCTTTCATTTTGCATCAATTATAATACTCTAACCCATGTAGGCATTGTTTGTGCGTAGCGAAAGAGCTGTTTGTAAATGTACATACGAACGATGTTCACAACGATTTGAACGAAACAAGTCAGTTGTGTCTGTCTGGATGAAGCAAATTGGTTGGAACCGTAGATCACAAGCGAAAGGGTTAAAAACTTGTTTAGGCATAATCAGCTTGCATTTATAAATAAATTTGCCTCAGCGTAAGAGCATCATAATAATAAATTGCTTTAAAATACCGGTGTAGAATGACAAGAAATTATTTGTTCTCGTTTCTTCTGTGTTTTTTTTTGTGTGCCACAGAGTCACATGACCAAAAAAACTTGATTGCGGCGCGGCTTCGATGCACACGGAATAAATATATATATTTAGAGATGCATTTTCACCTATATCGAATGTCATTGAAAAATGTGGGTATTACTTCGGTGTTTGTTGCAGTCTCTTTCTTCTTGTCGTACACCGTTCCGTGAATTGGACGCAATTTTGGGAAGTTAAATGCGTTATTGACATTGAAATTTGAAGACTTGTTCTCACTTATCAGAATTTTTTGAACTTTTTCTGTTATTTTTTTTCAAATTTTCTTCCAGATTTTGAAACTTTTCTCATTATTTCCAATTTTCACCTCTCTTTGGTTGGTTCAAGAAATCAAAAAAGAGAGAAAAAAATCGTGGAACAATTTTTTGTCAATACAATAGAGTTGCTCTCTTTGAGCAGAGAGTTCGCCTTTCGATTTTAAGATCCAATGGAGTCTGATTCGAACGAAATGAGTGTCTGTCTCTTCACGTTAAAGGCTTCAATCTGCTCTGCGATCGAAGCAAAAGAATTCTTGTGGGTTTCGAAATATTGGAGTCGCGAAGTAGTTTCCCCTTGTTATCCTGTTTTCCAGCACGTGATCACGTACAAAATTCTTGTGGTTATCCCTTGTAAATGCGCAATTTTTTTCTTTCTTTCATCCAGAAACGTCGTTATTTCAAGAAGTAACTAAAGCCTGAATCCCAAAATAGCCGGTTTTATGTATAGCCAGTGGGAATCCCACCAGCTATTTTATGATGCATATTAAAAATACGGCTCACGTGATTTTGATTTAAACAGTGTCATTTTGATTTTACGCCATTTCTCAATCCGATCTCATTGAATTTCCACTTCAAGTGATTTCGAATGAAATCAGCGAAAAAATACAATAAATCGGATTTCCGAGTATAAATGTAATAATGATAGTCATAAAAATGGACTATTAGGCCCAACTGATGATTAAAATGATTCACTTTGCTCTGGTCACATGTGCTGTCGACTGCGAACGTGTGGAAATGCCAATCGATTAGACGTTTATTATCCAGACGATCTTGTTTATTTGAGTGGTATCTGGCTAACTTCAACCTTAACCTCTGCGCTTGTAAGACAAACGCCATTGGCATTTTCTATTACCCCCTCTCAAAAATAGCTGGAATTGATGCAATATGCATTCGGTATGATGGGATTCCTATCACATTCGCACCAGTTTAAACCAGCAGCTGTTGAACACCATTTAAACAACAGTATAAATAAGCATCATTTCACAGTTTGACACAGAGAAATCATTTGGACCACACCGTGCAGAAGCGACATATAAAAATGTCATCTGTGGCAATGGCCAGCGACTTGTGTTTAACAAAAATTACACAAAAATACGGCCTTAAACTCATTGATTTTTTGGAAATCGACCCAAAGAACGTACGCACTAGGCAAAATTAACAGATTAACGGGCTTAAGATTCAATACGTAAATAGTCTAGCTGGCATTGGAAATCATCATCAGTCTTGATGTATATTGAGTGTTATCTATGCTGATTTTTTTTCTCGTTCGATTTGATGCAACTAAAGTTTATTATACCGGTTTTTGACTGAAGTAAAGGTACGCATGTTTGTCAGTAGATGAACCAAAAAGAAATTGATGAAATCAACAAAAGTTTGGTTTATTGACATCGTTTACCTTTTTTTTCATTTGTTTGTATGTGAATATTTACATATAGACGCAAACGCGTCAATCGATTATGTTTTGATAGCGGCATTTCCCAAACATTTTGACAAGTTGAGGAGAAAAATAAACATTTTTTTGTGGCAATTTTAACATATATTCATTCTTTACACCTGTTTGAATATTCAATTTTTCTGTGGAAAAATATCAATTTTATTGACGAGTGATAGCGTATCACTATTGGTGATTCACTTATACGATCTAGTTCAATGTGTGATTGTGAATCGAAGAAGAAAAAAAAAACAAGAAGAAAAAGCAGCATCAGATGATGTTCCGAATTTGTGACAAGCACGTGAGTTCGAATGATAATCCAATAATTATAAAAAAAATTGAATCTCATTTCGAAGCAGCTCTCTACAAACAGACGCATCAGAAACGAGCAAAACGGAATGAATAGATAAAAACAGTGCAAATGATACACAGCCGCCTGACCGATTGTGACGTCGCTCAAATCAGTTAAGTATATATGTTGTAATTACAACTAATTACTTTCACGTGATTGTTTACACACACACACGCACTCAACCGTATAATTATAACAAGTGCCGCGATGAGAATAAAGCACATTGCGAAACATTCTTTCATTTCAGCTCATTAGAATTCTTGTTTTTCACTGATTCAATTTTTCTGCTTTTACTAAAAATGAATACTGCGTTCAACCACCTCCTAATAATAACGATCACTTGAGTCTGGCTATGAAACGGATTACATGATGCAACAGTTTAAATGATGATCGAAACGTTTTACAAATCCGATCATTTTACGCTTTGGGTTAATTTCAACAGGTTTGGTTAATTGAAGACACCGATTTTGGTATGCTGATTTCATATCAGCGATTTGTACATTTTGGATTTTCCTTTTGAAAAAAAAAACTATTCTTAGAAACCATATTTATCTCTTAGCGTTCACTGAATTAATGATTCATCGATGCTCGTTTGCAATTGCACGTAGAGTGTGCGTAGCTCTAACTAATGTGGTCATTTGTTGCAAATTCGTAGTCATTCAAACAATTTCGCGGTAGATTTTGGCGCCGTATTCTGCGCGCTACAATTTTGATTACGCAACCGTCGTTTCGAATTAAAAATTCGAAAAAAAACCTCAAAAATTTCCAAAAAACCGTGCTTCTCGTTCAACTTGAGCCATTTGCTATGAAACGAGCACCTCTCCGTATTAAAGAGTATGCATTCGGTCATCGAATTTCGATGTTGAACATATAATCTTAGAATGTTCATGTAGTCCCTACATAGGCTCCACTGCATTGCAGTGCATGACATGCACACAAAGTGTGACTACTCAGCACGAGTCACTTTCGATGGACATGAAACAAAATCCGACTAATTAAAATGAATAACGTTGCGAGTCAATAATTAAGTCAGATTAAAGTCATATTTTATTTATTGACAAGAATTTGATCATTTTCATGATAATTATTTATACTTCATGATTATTTATATTCTTAACATCAGTCACATGCAATTTCCGTTCGTTCCAAGCTGTTGTTAAGATTCAGCCCATCGAGAATGAAACGTTGTTGCACTTAATCAAATCGATTTTTCTGGATTTGACGTGAAACTTGGAAAAGTTTCAGTACCTTTTAATTCCTGGTCTTACCTTTTATCGTAATTTATATTTTTATTTTTGCGGTCGATCGTAATTTTCATCAATTTCATCGCAATCGATTCGCACGCAAAAGACGCAATAGCAATTAAAATGCTTATTCTAGATAATACTCAAGTCCAAGTCATATAAATACAATAAAATCCTTAATAATTAATTTGAAATTGATCGGTTTTCTCTCTTTCTCTCTATTTCCAATTTGTGTGGACTTTCTATTGTTTTTGAATTTTCCAACGGCATAAAAAAACAATAAAACATACTATTGTTCTTAAAAAAAAACTGTTCTGTTTCATTGGATTTTGCTTAGAAGTTCCAGCAATGCATGTAATAATTGGAGGAAAAATTCAACATTGATTATATGCATCGAAAATCGGAGTCGATTTCAAATGAAACGGTTTAGATTTAAACTGTGCTGAACGCGAAATGAATGCACGAAATCGCATGCAAATGACCGTCTCAAATCACATTGCGTTGTATAAATTTTTACATTGTTATTTGAATAATATCGTCGATATAAAAGTATGTACCACATTTTTGTTGCTGATTATGCGTTCAGTCGCCTGAGCGTTACGCCAATGTTTTGTAAAATTAAGTTTTCCCCCGGCTAATTAGTCGAAAAATCATGATCAACTCTCCGGTCAATAGTATTTATGTTGTGCGGAAAGTTGAAAACGATGACGTCGTCTAGCATGTTTGACTTGCTATTAGCTCTTGGTGTTGATAAAAAAAACTTCGATTTGCTGTGAGGTGTGTGTGTGTGTGTGACACGTCACGATAATCAAACGAACGAACGAACGAGAGTGAACAGAGAGCTCAAAGTAAAGAGAGTAGCACGGCAATAAAACAAAGCGTCACATGTTACTGTTGATAACAAAACGAAAGAAAATAAAGAAATAAATAACGCATATCCAAATACAAACAATGTTTACGATCGGTGTTTAGCGTGTCTGTGTGTGTATGAGTGTTTTCGTAGTAGCCGCTGTGGCACATATAACAGCTCTTTACTCCTTTATAGAGTATCGCAGTGGAAGCGGTTCGTATCAGTCGTATCATCGCACTCATCACGTCAAGTCGCCTTTCGAATGAGGCAACTGCAATTTTTTTAACGCTTTTATTTGAACCAAAATATTTGCTCCATAAATAAAACAGTGAGATATTTAGATTCGATTTATTGAAAATAGAAACGAATTGGTTGTTTGGTTTTTTTTTTAAAGAAAGAGTGATCGTCGTTGACGTAAACTGAAAACAAGTTCGAAGAAAAATTTACAATAAAATTAACGTTTTGATAATGTAACGAACAGAAAACGTAAATTTGAACATTCCGAATTTAAAATCACAAAACATAAGCATCGAACATATAAACGCAAATACAGAGAGGAAAAAAAAAGCAATAGACTCCAAGAGAGAAAATTTACGTCGACCTTTTAAACGAACAAATGCAATAATTATTCGTAAAAAAAACGCTATCAGAGATAAACACGAACCACAAATACTATTCAAAAAAGTTCGATCGAGAATAATCAAAGTACATAATAACCATATCGATTTATGTTGGAAGCAAAATATTTACATAAATTGACACCAGTGATAGTTGATCAAACAGTGTGCACAAATTAAGGTAAAATTCAACGAAATTCACGAAAAAAAAACAACAAAAGTTTCGAAAATTTCAGTTTCATACATAACTTTCACACTGAATTCGGTGGTTTTTCCTCGCCTTTCTATTCGTTTTATTCTCCGAATTGAATTTCAAACAAATCGTAGATTTCGGAAGAAATATTTTCTTCCAAAGACTTATTTCAATTGGAATATTTTTCAATCGAAATTTTTCAATCGAAAATTCACACGAAAAAAAAACATAGACAAATACAGATAACGGATATATATCCCAGATATCGAAGAAGGAAATCAAATTGTTGAAGCAAACGAATGAATAGTGAAAAAGAAATTCCGCCAAAGAATTGTTCCTAAAATAGAAAACATTCATAGTGTACGATTAAAAAGCACTTAATCACCCGTCAATTTTCTGTACATGTTCAACTACCGCCCAAAAAGCATGTCAAGCCGATTTGGCTGATGATAGTGTAATTAAAAAAAGATTCTCGAATTGATAAAGTTTGTCACGTTCTATACTGTAGTTTGATGATGATTCGAAACATTTCCGGTCGCACGGAATACGGAATCATTAAGTCTGCAAGCGTATTACAACTTATCGGAAATTGCAATGCGAAAAAATCGTCTGTAATAACGAGCCGAAAAAACGCTAATTTCAATTTGTTTAAAAAATTTCGAGATTCAATTTGTTCGATCATTTGTGACTTCCTAATTGAGATTTCGACAGTTTCACCTTCGACCATCCTTGCCGACTTGTCAATTTTCGAAATAGTTTCAACCGATTCTATTTGGCAAATGGTTAAAATTGAGTTTTGTTGAGTCGTTGATGCATTTTTGTTACTCGCTTCATAAATATATTAGCGCCAATTGATCTGGCCATGGATAAGCACGTAGTGATTTTTTTTCTCGTGTTTTTGCATAAGCGCAAGGGCTACCGTCAATATTCTCACCTTTGTTGTTCTACCGGATTCGGTCGATTGCCGCATGCGATAAGCGTGCATCGATTTGAGAACTAAACGATCTCACAAGTTTAAAATTCATTTACTCCGATGAAATACTACACGGTTTTTTCTTTCACTCAGACAATAAACGTAGCTCATGCATTATTCATCGATTGTTGGAACAGTAAAATTGATGAATTTGATGATAGTGATCAAGTTGTTCTCGAGAAAAGGGGAAAAATGGAGAAAAAAAAATTAGTGAAAAGGAAAATCATGGCAGAAGAATGAATAAACAGAGAAAAGGAGAAAAGAAATAGAAGAAAGGAGAAACAGAGCAAAGCGAGAAGATAAAATATCGCTAAATGGTACCTGCCTCAACGATTTCTCTGAAACGATTCACACCTTTCATCTACGTGCCAAATGGCGTCTGAATAACTAATTAGTTTTTGTTGTATTTTCCACAGTAGCAATCGCATTATGATTAATGGACATCAGTCAAACGATTAATTTCATTGCAGACACTTTACGACATAATGTGATTATAATTTAAAGTTCAAATGAACAGACTCAATTCGAATTAACTTGGTGAAAAGATTTATTTTTAGCTCTTTTTCTCTCATCTCTTTTCTTAAGTTTAGTTTGTGCTAATTTCGTTTCAATTAGTACATTTCATTTTATTTATGGGCAGTAGCATGTCATTTTGTCGATTGTGAGTCACAATTTTGGAATAAAATGAATTCACGGAGTTTATTGCCTTCGATTTTGGGAATGGGATTAGAATTTTGTTGAGAATTTTGAATGTTTATCTAATTTTCCTGTATTGTTTTGACAATTTTACTTGGCTTTCACATTGAGTCGTCTTTCACACGATGACGCATCAGGAGATTTTTGTTACCCAAAATGGGAATCCCACAAAGATTCAAACACATTTCAAATGAAATAATACATGAATTGTTTTCTACCCAGATTGAATTTTTGACTTAAGTCAAAAACACTTGTTGATCATAAATGCGTGATTTTGCTTCGAATATTACATCTCAAGGCTTTAGAGTTGCATTTATCTTCATGGCAAATGACTTAGACAAATAGAATTTCAACATCTTTGCGACATGACCTTTTAGTAGTATTAGTCCGATGTGCAATCCAATATGTTTGCTGAAATTGCACGATCAATAGGCAATTTATCAAAAATAAGCTCAAAAATTCAATGTCAACCGTCGGTGAATTCCATTTAAATAATTTGCGAATAATTCGCACAAATACTGATTCTGCTCTCATTTATTGGGTGACATTTTAGATACCTATGTATCTAAATGTATGGGTTTTTGCATGAGTTCGCATCTGCTTGAACATATGGGAATTTCATAGACTTTGGACCAAATTTCAATTTTTTTCAATAAAAAATCAATGAAAATTCTAAATTTCGAAAATCCAACGGACAAAGTTCATTGAAAAATGTTGTTTTTTCTAAAAAAGAAAAAGAAAATAAAACAACGAAAAAACATCAATTTCGATTCTATGATAGGAAAGTAGCGGCATTTGAACATTCAATTGAAAAAACAAAAACAATCGAAAAATGCTCAAGTAAAACAATTCAAATTTGTTGGAAAAAAAAAGCCAAAATAATAAACAAAATAGCAAATATTCGACATTGTTTACGTCTTCACTCTACAGTGTCTTATTGTATCATTCAGTATTTAGCTGGGTTCGAACTACGATAAGAAACGTGAAAAATGTAAATAAAACACTACATCAGATGAACATTTCGCAAAAATTTGCTGTTTCTTGTGGAAAAAACTAGCCATAGACACCTATTTTTAGAACGAAATTCACGAAAAGACGGTATTTTCCGCGAGCTAAGAAATTCTTAGTAAGAATATAGTCGCCAAATCGAGTAAATAAAAATACGAATCGATAGAATTCAACAAAAATTCGTACTGCGGCCCACATTGTTGACAATATTGTCAATATAAACAAAAATTCAAAACAAATTAAATTGTAATATCGATCAATAATAGCTGTTCATCCATTTCTGTTTATTTAGAACAATTGCAAATGATAATCAATGTAAAAACGATTGATCATCACTATTCTGTGGGCGTCTGATATCTCATCAAAGTGTTTATAAACAGCGTTTAAAGTGTCATGAAATGGGCAAATCATTGGAAATAATGATTTTTTTTTGTCGATTGGCAAGAAATAATAAATGATTGCCAATTAAATTGCATACACTTGGCGTGTAAACAGTTTTCTGGATTGCTTCAGTTAAAAGTCCTATGGAATTGTGTCAGTTCAGTCCAAAGCATGCGTAAGCACACAAATATTTTCCCACAAACGTAAATGCAAATGATGCTATTGTTTACCGGCCTGTTAACTTTATTGTTTTGAAGAGGACACGAGAAGTTGTTAACAAATAAAATGCGCCGATAAAATTCCAGCATCGTAAATATACCGTAAAAAAGCGATTAAAAATAGAGTGAAAAAAAATGTCAATTATGCGAAACAATCACGAAAAATGGTTCGAATCAATTTTTATGGCCAATGAATGTCACATGATGTGTAATTGAATGGGCAAGCGGAATAATGAAACGTAATTCTGTTTTCAAATGAAGTGCCTCTGAGAAAATTTTTCAGTAAAAAAGCCCCACAAAAATATTGTCTGATAAAAATTTGTATGAAAATCTTATTCAGACAATATTTTTGTGGGGCTTTTTTACTGAAAATTTTTCTCAGAGGCACTTCATTTAAAAA